GGGACCCTGTGAGCTCACCATGGAATGGTCAGCCATTGAGGTTTAGAAGGGTAGCATTTGCCTAAGGACAGAGTTCAGAGGGTGGGTGGAGCGGAAATGGGGACCATGAGAAGGAAGCAGGGTAACTGATGTGCCATGGAGAGGACTGCAATTACTGAGATGAAACAAAGTGTATGATTTGTTGAGTGTAAAGCTGATGTTCTGCTCTGTGAGCCTTCACTCAATTCACAGTGATGAGTCTTTAAACAGTCCATAAACAATTTAAAAATATAAGCCTTTAAAAAGACTTTGCAGGAATTTAAAAGAATGAGGTAGACTTGTGTCTACTGATATGCAAAGGTCTCCAGGGTATATTGTAGAGTGAAAGAATATATATAGCATGCTGTTCTTTAGTGCTATCAAGTTGGTTCTGACTCATAGCAACCCTGTATAGGGTTTCTGAGGATCAGCTGGCGGGTTTGAACTGCTGACTTTGCGGTTCATACCAACCTTGTAATTCAGTGATTATCCTGCAGCGCCACACCAGGACTCCATATAACATTTGGGTTTTTCAAAGGTCACAAAACAATGCAATACCAGTATACTGGCTACAAGTATATGTATACGCTCATACATGAAGAGGCATCAGAAAGTTCATGGGAAAAATGGAATGAAAAGAAAATGAGTTTTCCACAAGTGGTTTGAAACTCCTGTGATAGAAAAAGACAGAGAAGGATATAAACCAAACTGAAGGTGGTCACTAACTCTGGGAGGGGAGCTGAGGTGGGGTGGTGGCCAAGGGGACTTTAACCTTTACTGCTATTTTGTTAAGTTCTCCAAGAAGGGAAGGAGCATGGTGGCTCTATATGATAAACATTGGACTGTTAACTACAAGGTCTGTGGTTAGTGCCCACCAGGCACTCTGAGAAAGATGAGGCTTTCTGCTCCCTCAAAGATTTAAACCCTTGGAAACCCTATACCAGGTCACTATGAGTCAGAACCAACTCGATGGCACTTAACAACAATGATAACAAAGAAGGAAGTATTCATAGATCCTTGTGCAGTTAAAATGATCAGGAAGTCAAAGCCCCTAGACTCTAGGTTAACCCTAGTATTAATGTGGCACGATGTTTCCTTCTGCAGACCTCAGATTTTTCCCATCTACATATTGGGGAAACTGGATGAGGGAATCCCAGTGATCCACCACCCCCATCCTAGAATGCCTAGAATTTTCAAATCTTCAAACACACTCCAAGGAAGGGACGCAACATTCTCAAGATGGTGCCTTTGGAGACGACTTCTTAGGCACTGAAGTATAGACTTTGGGTGGATGTTGAATGTTGAATGTTAAATAATGGCCCTTAGATAGTTTTAATATTAAGAATAGGCTAGGGGAGTGATCCAACCCTGAACAAACATCAGTGTTCAGAGAGCCACGGCAGTGTGGCAAATAAGAATTTAGGCTGCGTTCCTATCCTGACTCTTCCGCTGTCCTGCTTTGTGACAGTGAATTACTGACCTTCTCTGAGCTGCAGCGTTGAGTTGTGACCATGTACAGATAATTTTTTTTTTTTTGCTTCAGTCTTGATGCTATGGCAAGCCAGACACTCAACAAACATTTACAGAGCCCCAGCTGTGTGTCAGTCCTGTAGACACCGACAAGGAACTCTTGACGCCTTGTTAGAAACATGTGCATGTCCTCCCTGCTTCCTGTTCCATCTTTGTCTTACAGCAGCTGCCTTAACCCCCCACACTCCCACTCTGCATAACAGCTCGGTGTGCTCCAAGATTTGAAAGGGGGAGAGAGGAAGGAAAGGAGGAAGAGACTCAGGATGGACCTGTCTGGGATTTCTGGGTGTCACTTTGATAAGAAAGCGAATGTTGTTGTTATTGTTGGGTGCAGGAGCTGGGCTAAAGCCATGTACACATGAGTGGACTCAGATTTCTCTTCTGTAATGATATCTGCTCCCTCAGGTTCCTCTGAGCATCACATTGATAATAATACTAATGTTGTTGTTATTTCTGGATGCTGTTGAGTCAATGTGTACTGACAGCGACCTCATATGGCAGAGTAGAAGTGCCCCACATGGCTTCCTAGGCTGTCACCATGATGGGAAATGGAGTCCTTCTTAGCAGAGGAACCCTGGAAGAGCAGAGATCACTACAGAAGAGAACTCTGAGCCTGGCTCCTGCAGCTGCCCCTGGAGCAGGGCCGGTCCTCAGAAATCCCAGACAGGTCCCACCTGGGCGTCTTCCTCCTGTCCCTCCTCTCTCCCCCTTTCAAATTTTGGAGCACGCCCAGTTGCAATGCAGAGTGGGAGCATGGGAGAGTAGGGGAGCTGCGGTAAGACAAAGTGGTTTAGTGCTCTCCTGCTAATTCAAAGACTGGCGGTTCAAATCCACTAGTGGCTCTTTGAAAGAAAGATGTGGCGTGGCAGTCTGCTTCTGTAAAGATTGCTGTTGTTGTTGTTGTTGATAAGTGCCATCAAGGCAGTTTCGACTCACAGCAACCCTATATAAGATTTCCAGGGAGCGGCTGGTGAGTTTGAACCACTGACCTTGTGTTAGTTGTCCAGTGCTCATTCCACAGCTCCATATACAGAAACCCTATGTGGCAATTCAACTCTGTTCTGCAAGGGGCGCTAAGAGTCAGAACTGATTCAATGCTGAAATCATAGACCTAACAGTGCCTAGCTGTTTGCGCCACCAGGTCTCCTAGTAAGCAGTAAGAAGGCAGCTTATTTCCTTGTGCTCTTTGTAGGTGTCAGGAGCTGAATAATTGTGCACCATCTCATTAACCCAGACAACAACCCTGCTTTATTCATGAACAAACATGAATGGAGTAAACCATTTGCCTGAAGCCTCTCAGCTTCAGGGGAGAAAGGGGAAGATATCAATCCAGACACATGAGCATCAGACCACAGCAGCCGACCCTAGCTCATGTCAACAGATGACAGACAATTTAGGGTCCTTGTCATCCTGCCTAATATCATTACAAAACTTGGATTAAATGTTATTGAGCCTTCTTTTTTCTGGTCTGGTGGACTCCAGTCCTTCTGCCCGCTACACCGGCAGGCGAAGAGAAAGCAAAACAGGTAGGATCAGAGAGAAGAAGCGCTCATCGGTGGGCTCATAGTAACAGAGTTCCTTCTCCACACAGGCCTTTGTGTTTAATTACAAGCAGTCATCAGATAAGCTTACTCTAATTAACTCCCCAGATGCACCCCGTTCCAGGAGCCTCCCTTTGATATTGTCTACATCAAATCTGCAGTTGACGATCATCTTCAGACATTCACCATTTGTCGAATGTGCCCGAAAGGTTATCATGAACCCTCCTGCCTCGTTCTTTTTGCAGTGACAACCCCCACTTCCTCACTGGTTTCAGAGCAAACAGGTTTTCAAATTAGGAAGGGGGTGTCTGGGTTGGCTCCAATAGTCTGTGATTTTTCTTCCCGTCTTATCATACTGGTCCTTCTGTTATCGGAAGCGGTATGCATTTCATCTTAATTATACATCTGCTTCATCTGTAATTTCTGATTTATGGCCATTAACTCCTAATTACAAGCGAGCCGCCCTTGAAAAGGAAATCCAAATGAACTCCAAGCAAGCAATGGACCTGAAAAGCTAGAGGGAAGATGACTTGAAGTTCTGTAATGGCAGATGAGTCCAAGGCCCATTTGTTGGGGGCAGGCTATGCATTTGTGAGGGTCTCAGTTGAGGCCATTGTTGTTGCTGTTGTCAAGTGCTGTTGAGTCGGTTCTGACTCACAGAGACCCGGTATAGGGGACTCATCATTCTTTCATGGAGCAGCTGGTGGGCTCAAATGGCCAACCTTGTGGTTCACAGTCCCATGCTTGTCCTATGGAGACACCCTGCTCCTAACTCAGGTCATAGCTGAATTCATCTCTGTCTACGGCTGGGCAGAGACAAACTCCAGACATTCAGACAAAGCTGAAATCTCTGCGTAAAAAGTTTTCCAATCTAGCTTTCTTTATAATAGCTCCATTTAAAAAACAAACGAACAGCAACAAAAACCCAGAAGTTAAATGAATGGTTTGTTTTAAAAACCTTATCTCTATGTTGTTCTTGTTGTTAGATATTGTCAAGTCGGTTCCGACTCATAGTGACCCTGTATAGGGTTTCCAAGGAGCAACTGGTGGATTTGAACCACCAATCTTGCAGCTTGCAGTCCAGTGCTGATCCTAAAGTGCCATACTAACTTTCCGTAAGTGAAAAACTAGCATGAATTGCCTTGAGTAGAAAGCTAAAATAAATAAATTCAAAGCTATTGAAAATTAAGAAAAAAAAAATTTACCTCTGCTATTTAAAATCATCTGGGAAATCATGCCACGTTAAATCAAACAAACCCAAAACCCTAAACACACCGCTATCAAGCTGATTCCAATTTATGTTGTTGTTGTTGTTGTTGGATGCCATCATAGTAACGCTATGCACAGCAGACCAAAACACTGCCCAGTCCTGCGCAAACTTCACTCATAGCAACCCTTTTATTAGATAAAGTAAATCTGCTCCAGAGGGTTTCTGAGACTGAATCTTTGTGGAAGCAGACAGCCTCATCTTTCTTCCCCAAAGTGTCTTTGAACCACCGACCTTGCAGTTAATAGTCCAGCACTTAAACCACCAGCATCAAATGCTGTAGTAAATGTGCATCATTTCAATCACTGGGGCAGCAAATACAATTATATTCACTGCTTTGCAGATGAGGAAGTCAAAAGTGTAGAGGCTCAGAAAGTCAAAAGTCACAGAATTAGAAAGCATCATTAGTAGACCACCAAGCCTTTTTTCTGAACTATGCTTAGGTGGACTTGAACCTCCAACCTTTCAGTTAGCAGTCAAGAGCATTCATGATTGATATCATCCAGAGATTCCCATTTGGACCCATTAGGAACATGTTTTTCCTGGTCTTGGCTAGAGGAACTGGAAGACTTGAACAACTACCTGTAAAGAGTCTGAGATTCTTCAAGATGCTGACCATAGATGCAGCAGGGACAGACTCTTACCTGGGGCTGAGCATGTGGCTACTGATGACTGAGTGTCGAGAAGGACTCCTCAAGGTGTCTGTGGCCAGGGAGAGAGTACAGCTCATCCAGGACTGCAGACTGCTCTCGGGTCGGGAGCTGAAGTCGGAGACATTATCCCTAGAACCAGAATGCACAATGAAACCTGCAATAACAGCAAGAACTAGACATGTGCCTCTTAGCCTAAGTCAGGCATTAAGCTGAGTGCTGTATGGCAACCTTACCAACCACGAGAGGTGCTAGTCCCATTACATAAAAGGTAGTACTGAGATCTGGGGAAGCCAATGTTGGGCTTGACCAAGGACACTCAGCTAGTCATTGACGGAGCTAGGACTCAAACCTGCGATTCCAGTGCCCTGCTGTTAACCACTGCATCCAAGCTACATGCCAAATCCTTTCTATGTGGGGATAAGCTTGGCTTTGAATTTTAACAAAATGGGATAGTCACAAAATAGATCAAGTCTTATTTCTTCTCCACCCTAGCTGGAAAGTCTTCATAGAGTCTTGAGTTAAATGTCCACTGTCTCTGAAAGGACACTGATGTGGCACTGTAGGATAAACACTGGACTGATAACCAGAAGGTTGGTCATGCAAACCCATTAGTAGTTCCTGGGGTTGTTACAAATTGGAACCAACTCGATAGCACTTAACAACAACCACCTCTGAAAGCAGCCCAGAGAGAGGCCCAGGTGCTCATGCAATGATTGTTTCTGGTGGGTGTACTCCTTCCACATTCATTCATAGGCTGTGGAAGGCACTGTAGGGAGGGGCTGTATATAGGCATCTAGCATTGATCCTGTATCCATCCTCACAGAATGAATTAACAATAAAGCAAAGGAGAATAATATCAATGTCCCAGGGAGGGACCTAGAGGAAGTCCTAAAGGTAAGAAGGAGGGATGTTTACCTAGCTTCTTAGAGGCATGGATGAAGGAGTCTAAAGGTGGCAGTTGAACTGCATCTTCTTTGAAGGGTAAAGTATGACCTATAGGACCGGTGAACGGATTTTAGGTTCAGGAACAACATATACAAAAATACAGGGGCCCTACCGACTCGATGGTACCTAACAACAACAACAACAAGGCAGGGCCAGGATGACACTCATTTAGAAAGTGATTGTCCCAGGTGAAGAGGGGAGTCAGGTTTCAGATGGTACAGAGCCTCCAACATCAACCTGGAAAGTCTGTTCTGAGGTAAAAGGGAGCCATTGAAGGTGTTTAAGAAGGGCAGTGACCTATGTCATGGTTTCTTTCTGTATAAAAGAAGTTGAACCATTCAGTGATATGAACAAGGGCTCTTCAAAAAGTTTGTGGGGAAATGCCATTATCTTTTCATTGCTTTTTCCACAAATTTTTCGAAGCTCCCTTGGATGACTCTGGAACCAGGGTTTTCGCACGGCAGTTCTCTGAGTGGACACAGCTATTCCTTTTGCAGACTGGACCCACAGAGCCAGAGACTCATGGTTAACTTACATTTCTTTTTTGCCACCACAATCCACTGCTGTCTGGACACTGCAAAGAAGCACAAGAAAGAATCTATTATGCTTTTGCTTCGGTGAGTTGGGGGATTACATGGCGTGTGACATTAAACAGACTTGGGTGCAAGACCCACTTCCAACCTTTGCTGCTGTGTGATCTTAGGCAAGTCACTTGCCTTCTCTGAGTCTCATTGTCTTCATTTGTAAAATGTGGCTACTAAAGGGGTTGTACCTCCAGAGGTGTGGGGCAGATATTTATTTACCTTGTAAATATTTCAGTATTGCTCTTGTCAATTAGAGCCAAACACTAAACGCACTGCTATAAAGTCAATTCCAACCAGTGATCTGATAGGACACAATAGAACAGTCCTATAGCAGCAGAAGAGTCTTGGTGTGGTACCGGGGGAGGGGGGGGGTACATCAGTGGATCACAAGGTCAGTTTTAAACACAAGATGAGTGGTTCAAACTCACCAGCCACTCCTTGGAAGCCCTATTCAGGGTTGCTATGAGTCAGAACTGACTCAGTGTCACTTAACTACAACACAGCAGCAATGGACTTGAGCATAGCAAAGATTGTAAGGATGGTGCAGGACACGGCGGTGTTTCGTTCTGTGGTGCACAGGGTCACTATGAGTTGGAGCCAACATGACAGCACCTAACTACAGCAATATAGAGTCTAAGCCCATCAACCTTAAGGTAAACTGATTGCCACATCTTTCTCCCATGGAGTAGCTGGTGGGTTCAAACCGCTGACCTTTCAGTTAGTATCCAAGCACTTAACTACTGGGTCACCAAGGTTCCTTCCTGGGAAGTAGTGCTAATTAAAACCATTACCACTACTCTTGTGATTGTATGCCTAGTGTTGCTATTAGTATTATTATTACTAGCAGCATGCAAACCATTTGCTTTATGTTCAGAAATAGGGAGTAGCTTCTCAGGGGCTCGCTGGGAAACTCCACAATGAATTGCAAACTAGCCATTCTTTTGGGGAACACTGCCTCATTCTGTGTCCCTCCCAAAAGTATGTGCTGTAAATCCTAAACTGTGGGTGTAATCTCATTTGGAATTGGGTTGCCTTTGTTATGTTAACATGGCAGGATGTCTGTAGGGTGTATCTTGAGTCAATCTCTTGAGATATAAAAGGAAGTAAACAAGTTGCTAACCCAAAAATTGGCAGTTTGGACTCACCGGCCATTCCCTGGGAGAAAGATGAGGCACCCAGCTTCCATAGAGACTGACAGCTACAGAAATCTCAGTTCTCCTGTGTCCCAGAGGGTCAGTATGGGTCAGAAGATACTCAACAGCAGTGGGTTTTTCTTTTATTGGCTTACACTATGACCAGTAGGCCAAATCTGACCCACCTCTTGATTTAGAAACTAAAATTTTTTTACAACACACCCCCACTCATTCATTTCTGTTTTGTTGATGTTTGCTTTCTTGCTACAACAGCAGAATACAGTAAATTCTGACAGGGACCAGATAGTCAAAACGTCTAAAAGATGGGCTTTCTGGCACTGAAGAGAATATATTGCTGACCCCTGCAGGAGAACAAGAAGATCTTTTGTGGATGGCCCTGTGGTAGGCAGAATAATGACCCACCTGCCCCCAAGCTAGAATGTGGAAGAACTTTTTGTCACAGTAACAATGGGCACAAACATAACAATGTTGGTGAGGATGGCGCAGGACGAGGCAGTGTCTGTTCTGCTCTGCACAGGGTCGCTATGAGTCAGAATCGATTTAGCAGCACCTAAATACACCACCAGCAGCAAAGATTTCCAAGTCCTAATCTCAAGATTCTGTGCCTGTTTCATTACACAGCAATTAGAAAATGTGATTCAGGACTTTGGGTTGGGGAGAAAGGTGCAATCTCTATACTTGACTCTTTCAAAGCAATGGGCCTTTCCTGGCTTTGGTCAGAGAGACAGAGGTGACCATAGAAGAATGTTGAGAGAAACAATGTTTCTGGCTTTAAAGATGGAGAGATGGAGTCACAAGCCAAGGAATGTGGGCAGCCTCTAGAAGCTGAACAAGGCAAGTTGTCACCATGAATTGGGAGTCTACCCAAATGGCAGCTAATAATAACAATGTCTTAAAGCAAGGAGTTTGAAAACCACTGCGTCTCCTTCACCATGAGAAGAAGCAGTCTGTAGAAGTCTCCAGGAGGTCCATGACTATCAAGTTCCTTATTGGAAGATGTTCAGGGATTATTAGCTGTTCAGTGGGAGAAGCGGAGGCCCATCAATGCAGTTTTCAATTTGCTGAAAAATTCTTTTAATTAGCTTCCATTGTCATCCTGTGTCTATTGAGCAAATCTACTAAGATGACTCTTTTGGGATCTCCCCCTGACCAAAGCCCAAAAGATTGCCATAAGTGAGCTGACCTCTCTGCCTTGAATGGAGCTGGCCCTGTCCATGGTCCTGGTCTTTTTGGTGGTACCCTTAGGACTAGAACCCTTATCTAACTAGAGACCAGTGGTTCTTTCTTCCATCTTGGACATGTTACTGTTCAAGAAAGAAAAAGAAAGAAAGGGAAAAAAAAGAAAGAACTGTTCCAGGCTTAATACACAGAGACTTTTAATGAGCAAGATAATTAAATGTCATCAGATGTATTCCTTTAGGGGTTGTCTTTGTCAGACAACTCTTGTCTAAATGCAGACACACGAGTTCACTGGTCCCATAGCACAGTGACAGACACAAGCTGACCAGCATGACAGTGCCAGAGACTTGGCAAAGAATAAAGATCTCAGCAAGGAAAAGGGGTCCATTTGCCAGGTCATGACAGACCTGCATCATCAGATTGTGGGCTAATAGGTCAACCTGGAGATCAGATCATGGCCCCACCACTGACAGTGTGTGCAGGGGCAATATTCTTGACTTTTCTAAGGCTGTTTCATCGTCTGTAATTTGAGATGATAATCGTTCCAAGCCCAGAGCAAGGCCAAGGAATGTCTAACAGGTAATGTAGCTCCTGGCACACAGCAAACCCTCCCAAAAGGGATCTATTACTGAAATGCCACATACTGTGGTGTCTGGCATGTTTCTGTAACACTGGAAGCGATGCCACCAATGTTTCAAATGCCAGCAGGGTCACCCATGATAGACAAGTTTCAGTGGAGCTTCCAGACTAAGACACACTAGGAAAATAAGCCAATGACAATACTGTGGATCACAACCGTATACTCTTGGATACAATGCTGGAATGTGAGCCTTCTGGATATTCAAGATACACATTGGTGGCAAAACATGGGTTTTAACATATCAATAATTGTGAAGATGTTGTAGGACGGGTGATTTCATTCTGTTGTAAGAAACCAGGACACAAAAGTATTGCTGTACAATCAGAGAAACCTTTATGAAACAAAAACACCACAATGTGAAGCTATTGTTTCTTGATAGATCCTCCATCTAGGTCTATACACTTCTGAAGGTAGTGCTCAGAAGGAGCAGATGGAGCCAGAGTGAATTGGCACGTTCTCAGTTTATCCCCAATCAGAGGCAATCAGTTGGTCTCACCACAGCCCACCCAATTCCCTGGCCAAGGAAGGAGAATGAGCAGCCACTGCAGACCCCAAGCCAAGAATAAATGGGGCTGTCTGTCCACCAACATATCCTCTGTTCCATGAGTAATGAGCGTGCCTCAGGCCTGGGGGAACAGCTTAAAGCATTTCTCCATTAATCGAAGAAGGTTGATGCCAGGGGCTAAGTGGCAAGGCAGAAAGCCCTCATGCATGCAGGCTAACACCTGTTTCACTGCTACCTCACCAGGCCCCTGGCTTTCTAAGCACGTAGCCGCGCTTCCAGCCTGGAAGGCCTGCTACACTCGGATCTAATTCCCAACATGGGGAAATGTGACTTCTCATAATTTGAACAAGTCTCTCAAAGAACCTCACCTGTGGCTTAAGCACAGCTCTCTCTCCCGGGCTGGGCTTGAAACGTAATTGAGAGCTCAGTTTGGAGAAGGGTTGCAGACCAATCCTGCAGGTGCCATTCAAACCTTTTATCACAGGTGATGAGACTATTAAGAGAGAAGCACCAGGATGGGAGAGAGTCAAGGCTGTTGGCTCAGTCAAGTTCTGATTCCGGGGCAGGGCCCGGAAGCTCTGCTCTGGACAGCAGCTCTACACCCTAGCCTTGATGGTTGACAATTAGTTTAACTGCACTAGAAGTACAGAACATGGCTTGTGTGAGAAGGCCTCAAAGAATTAAAACATGATGAAATTTTTCCACGTACTTTCTAATGCTCACCTCATACAACATTTATTCTTTGAAATTTGTTGAAACTTGCTTTTGAGCAATTTGAGGGGAGAGGGACAGGCCAGTTTCCCCTTTCTTATGGTATATTCTTTTAATCAATGCAGGAACACCTATCATGGTTGGTAGCAAGGAGGAGGGCTGGTAAAGGTGAGGGAGACCTTTATTGAGATGGACTGCCTTAAACCCACAGCAATGAACTGAAACTGACCAGCCATCATGGAGGTGACGCAGACTGCAACATTTTCCCTGCTATGTCTAAGGTCGCCATGAACTGGACTCAACTCAATGCTAACAGCAACAGGCTGTGTGCAACTCTCAGACTCTAGTTAGAAGACTGGTGTTTTCTAGTTAGAAGACTGATGTTGGGAGTTAAGAAATGATCCTTAAGAACCACATGGGGTCAGGCTGCCTTTTTGGGCCTATAACCTTTGCAAGTACCACACACTCAGAATGGCCTACACTTGATTTCATGCTCTGCTGACATAATTTTGAAACATTTAAGAGTTTTTCTTTTTTTAATTAGCCAAACCTTCCTTGGGTTCTGTGCACTTCAAGGTATTGGGGAATTCAGTGGGTATCTACGGGTGCTTTGAAAAGGTGTTTGGCTCATTAGAAGGGGAAGAAAGATGTAAGGGAGGGATGGAGAGAGGATGAGGAGAAGAGAAGAAGAGAAAGAGAGCTGCTTCCTCCTCCTTCACCTTCTGGGGCATAAAGGTCATCCACTCCCTAGAATTGCTCAGTGCTCTCCTCACTCTTGGTCTCTCATGGAAGGTTCTCCTC